GACCATGTAGGGCTCCCTCATGATCTCCCACACACTCACCAGGGTCGGGAGGAGGCCGATGGCACGATCGACCGCTACACTCTTCGGGATCAGGAAGAAAATGACCGTGGCTGCATGCTGCGGCCAGACGAGCGTGCGTTCCACCTCCCTCAGGATCTGCAGGAGCGTCCAGTGCGCTGCGTCCGAAGCCCCTTGCAACATGGCGGGGTGCCAGCGGTCCACTCCTTGAGCTGTCCTTCTCTTGAAGGTGCGCGCCACTTTCTTTAACTTGGCCAAGTCGCTCTCTGTGAAATCTGGCAACTCCTGACGCGGCTCGGTCTCCCACCGCCGCTCCTGCTCCTGCATCGGGTCGTTCACCTTCCAGACTGCGTTCCACTCTCCCAGGGCCGCTTCCGCCGCCCGCAGCGGGTCTGCCGAAGCTTGGGGTGTACTCGCTCTTCTCGGCCTCCAAATGTCCACTGGCTTGCTGATTCTGTGGAGTCCGCCCGCTGCTCCTTTCGCAGCCTCCTCCAGCTTCGCAGCCCACTGCCTCCTTCTTTCATTTATCAGGTCCTGGTCCTCCCGCTTGGAACGCTCCTTGGCCTCCAGGATCATCGCGTCCAGGCTGGCTTCCTGGTCAGCACCTCGCAAACGCCCTTTCGCCAGCAGGGTGCACCTTTCTCTCCACCGCTCCTTCTCCTCGCCGACCAGCTCGCACCTGAACTCGTGGCTCACGCTCCTGAAGCGCTCCTCCAGATCACTAGCTATCATGCACCACTCCTGGCGCGCACGGGCACTACCCGAAGACGACCTGAGCCTCTCGTAGTTCCCCGCCAGGGTCTGCAAAGAGCGCGCGAGCCACCGCCACCACAGAGCGTCTCCTTGCGGGGCTGGGTGGTTGCCGCCTCCTCTGAGGATCGCTCTCTCTTTCCAGCGCGGTGGATCCGCACGCCCTGCACACTCATGCCTGGGGTGCCACTCCAGCCCCCGCAGCGCGAAAGCCTCGCGCTCCAGCTTGCCGATGAAGGAGGCCCAGGTCCTGGTCGCTACCGTCACGTCGCTGAAGACCCCCACCTCGTCGTATACGGGCGGCTCGGGCGCGCACCCGATGGTGATACCTTCCAACTTCTTCGGCGTGATGAGAATCCGCTCCTTCCTCTCCTGCGGCCTCAGGTCGAGCGTGATCCCCACTGGCTTGTGCGGCGCCGAAGGCCAAGACTCGTGGATGGCCACCTTCCTCACTTGGCCTGCCAACTCCCTCGATACTACGAAATAGTCTATTGTGGAACATCCACTCGCAGACCGACAAGTTCCGCTCGCAACAGAGGGGGCCACCAGCGTCGCGCCAATGAGCTTGATCGAATCCAAACCCGCCAGGACGGCAGGGGCATTCTGGAAGTCCCCGCACAACACCCACGGCATGTTGAGCTCGTGCAGCTTCCCCAACACGTGGTCCATCAGCCCCCTGTTCCGCCGCGACATCTGCTCGGCCGTCCACAGGTACACGGTCGCCACCACGATGCCGCCTCTACCTACTGCAACCCACGCCGCTGCAGCTCTTCCTGGGGATCCTCTGGGGGACCAATCCCAGCTGGTCTGCCCACACACATACGCCATGCCAATCCTGTTCGGCACAGCGATTCCCACTCCTGCAGAGGTACCTGGCTCACCCATGGGGCCTAGCGTGGGCACCGCCACCGCTCCACCCGCTTGGTAGCCTCTCTGACGCAAACTGTGGGTCACTCCAGCCCACTGGTCCTCCTTCAGGCGGTGCTCCTGGAAAGCATAGATGTGCTTCTGCTGCCCCACCTTCTTCTCCAAGAGCTTCTCTCTGATGGTCCCCCATCCCGAGCCGTTGAAGGTCCACACAACGACCACCTGCTTGTCGTCATTCGCCTTGTCAGCCACGTGCCACGTCATGCGGTTGTCGTGCAGGACCCTCGCGTATCCTCGCCACCGGTCCGAGTCTGCCCCCTGACTCCTCGCCGTCGCCGCAGGCACAAGGCCGCGCGACGGCCCCGCGGGCGTGGACCTGGCCACACTTCCCGCCCTCAAGGCACCGTGCTCACTCCTCGCCAATGCCGCAGGCCATGGGCCGCGCACTGGCCCCGCGGGCGTGGACCTGGCCACACTTCCCGCCCTCTGGCTGGCTCCCACTGCTGCGCACTCGCCACACTCATCATCCATCTGCACTACGTCCCGTCGGTGCCCTTCGCTCTCGCTCCCCCCGATCTCCGCCTCCCACCCCGCAGGGTTCCAGCGGCTGTCGTCCCAGGGGAGGGTCTTCCCGCTCTGACGCAGCTGCACCTGGACTGCGCCTCTCCACGGCGACTCGGGGTAGCCGAGGTGTGTCCCATTGAGCACCAGGAACAAGAGGTCGCACGGCAAGCTACCCTTTCCGCTGTCTCTTGGCCAACTGGCAAGAGTGCACCGACATGAGCACCTCTTGGTACCGCTTGAACAAGTGCGGGTTCTCCTCCTGGTCGGGCACTGGCTCCTGCCCGTTGATCCACTTACGTTCGGTCTCGGTGACACCTGGTGGCAACTCCTCAGCCCCCGCGATGTCTCCCATGGATTCGTCTTCTGTTCCGTCCCCGTCGTCAGCCTGACCAGGCTGCTTAGCAGCACCAGCATCAGCAGCCTCAGCCTTTGCTGCCCCTTCCTTAGCCTTGGCCTCCAGGAGGGACTCGAGCGTGGCGAAGTTGAGGCCGAGGGACTGGATGTCGCTGCCGACGGACTTGGCGATGCACTCCAACTGCACTCGGATGACGTCGAGGTTGGAGGCTGGGGCCGCTGGGCCCGCCACCGCAATCTTCCCCTGGAGCTCGAGGATCGTGGTCGCCAGCTCCTCCTTGCGCTTCGCAGCCTCGTCCCTCTCCTTCTTGACCTCGAGCAGCATCTGGTTGGCCTTCCTCTCGGTCTCGGCCAAGCGCTCAAGCTGCCTGTCGATCTGCCCCAGCTGGACCTGCGCCTCGCGCAACTGGCCAGACAACGGCTTCGCCTGCGTTCGCTCCGCCTTGGCGTCCTGGATCTGCCTGTCGATGTCGGCCACCGCCTGATCGAGGTGAGGCGCGTCGCCCCCCCAGTCCTTGGCGCACTGGACCAGGACCTTCCTGCGCTCCTCGAGCTTCTGCAAGGCCGTAGGCGCCTTGGCCTCCGCAGCCGCACGCCAAGGCCTGGCCGCCACCGGTGGGAAGGAGGTGCGGAACCACTGCCCCACCTCAGGCGTGGAAGTGACCTTGCCCTTGCCTTTGTACCCAGGGCGACCCGCGCCACAGGCACGACAAGACGTACGCGTACTCCAGTTCGCACCTGTACCGCAAGCCCCGCACGTCCATGAGTCGCTCGGGCCCGCCCCCACCCAGGACGAGCCTCCGCCTTTGCCTCCGACTGCCCACACCAGAGACGGCTTCTGCTTCTTGTTGCGCCGACCGCCGCCCTTGACCTCCCAGTCGTTCTCGCCGCCCGCCATCGGTGCGCCCCACGCGCCGATACGAGCCCACAAGGGCACTGGAGGTTGCTGCAGCGGCAGCTCTCGTGAATGCACGGAGGCTGAAAGCCTCCCGAGCACACCATCTTGAGCCAAAATGGCTACGGAGAGACCCCCAGGAGGCCCCCAAGAGACCCCCAAGAGGCCCCAAGAGACCTCCCAGAGGCACCCAAGGGGCAAAGATGGCCCCAAGAAGCGCCCAGGAGGCCCCCAAAGGCCCCAAGATGGCCCCAAGAGGCCCCAAGAGGCCCCCAGGAGGCCCCAAAGAGGATCCCGAACGGCCCACAGAGGCCCCCCCGAGGCACCCAAGACGCCGAAAAGCCCCTCAGGACGACCCTCTACTCGCCTGGGCGTCGTTTCTGGACGGGCTGGTGGGGATACGCGAAGCGTCTAGAATTTAAGTATTGGTGGTCGTCGTGGTCGTCGTGGTCGTCGTGGTCGTCGTCGTCGGCGGCGGCGGCGATGGCGTCACTCCTCATCCTTCCACCCCCCATTCCCGCTCCCGCCTCTCCTCCATCCCCCCACAACGCACAGTCACTGCTCAAACTTTCGCACGAATGGTCTCCACTACTGCCCGTGCGGCGCAGATCGACAGCCAGCCGCACCGTGCAAGAGGCCGCCCGCGGCATCGCTGGCACGACGACGCTCAGATTTGACGGGGGGGAACAACAAGATACCAATACCGCTACTCCACGGACCTCTCCTGGCGGGCGTTCTGATCCAAATTTCGAGGCGAATCCTGCCGTGGCGACAGGAGACTTCAGGGAGGCCCGAGATGGCGAAAACGATGGAAGGATAGCGGCATCGGCAACGTCAGTCAGCATCGAATCGGGAAATCAGCTCGGATCGGACTGTACATCGAATAAGGCCGCATCGGCACGGAGTCGGAATCAAATCGAAGCGGCTGCGCCCATACGAACATCTGGCCACTTCGGATCGTCGGAGCGTTGGAATCCGATCGGATCGACCCGGCTGGAGCCGACATCCAATCGGAGATCGATCGGATCGAAATCAACCCTGTATCGATGCCTCTTCCTCTTCAGCTGGCTGTGACGGCGCCCTTTCCCGAGCCCAGCACTGGGCCGACGCGCCGCAGCGAGGGAGGCACCGGGGCGGACGCAAGGAGACGGGCGGCAGCCGAGCAGCGCGCTCCCGCGGGCGCGCGGGGGTCCTGAAGCTGCTGAAGACGGACAGAGCGCTGCCCTCGCTGTCGTCGCCTGGGCGACAGAGGCGGGCCGCAGCGGGCGCCGTCGTCGCCGCCGCCGCCGTCGACGACGGCGCGACGCCGTCGCTCGTGCTCTCCCTGGGGTCCGACTGGGACGGGCTCGTCGCTCGATAAGCCAAGGATGATGGGCCTGCTTTCCACCACCACCACCACCATAAGCTGGAGGGGGAAGGAGGCGGAGGGGGAGGAGGAGGAGGAGGAGGAGGAGGAGGAGGAGGAGGAGGAGGAGGAGGAGGAGGAGGACCCCCTCCCCTTCAAACTCATGGTGGTGGTGGTGGTGGAAAGCAGGCCCATCAAGGGAGCTCGGCGTGTAGGGGCCACGGCTGCCCACCCAGTGGGGCGCTGGAGCGTCTGCCCACCGGAATCCTTCGCCGAAGTCGTTGGCACCCAGGCCGAGCACGCGACGCGGTGTATACGTACATCGCAAGACGAGACCAGGACGAGGATCCGATCGGGCGAAGATGAATCCAGAACCTCTGAAACTGGCGGCTCTGGAGGACGTCTCGGACGCCGCGGCCTTCTCACAGCGCCCCAGAGCGCTCTGGAACGGATTCATCCTCGTCCTAACTCCGCCCGACATCGAGTTCCTACGAAGGACGACCCGGGATGATGTCGTGACCACGTCCAGGCGCAGCCCGAAGACATTGTCATTAAGGTGTCCGGGTGTCCGGGGAGGGGGGGGGAGGCCACCGACTGCTTCGCCTGCTGCACCTTTGCCCCCCCCCCTCCTGCCACTTCCCATTAGATCCTCCTTCCTTGTTAGTGCATTCTCCTGCTGAACCACCGAAGGAGCCAGCAGCTAGGGACCGCATCTGGATGGTCACATCCTCCCCACCCCCAGCAAGCTTAAACTCGACGTTTCCACATTGACGGTTTGCCGTCGACACTGCCAAATGCGTGGCAGGAAGGGGAGGGCCAGGGCGCACATCGCGCGCGAAACGGCGAAATGTCGCGATTGCCTCCGAGCCGGGTTTCCTTTCCCCGAAAAGTGAGTTCCCGCTCGGGCGCGGCGCACTTGTCGTTCGCCAATTTGTCTGCGGCGGGCCCGCGCGCGAGCGAACGATAAGGTCGTTTTCGCCCCGGCGCCGCGCCGTTGGGGGCCAGGCCGCGCGCGAGCGGGCGACTTGTCGCGCACGCACGAGCTCCGCGCAGAGTTCGCCGAGAGATGGCTCGACCGCTCGGGAGTAACGCACGCTTCGTCTCCACCGCGCTTATCAGGAATGGCTGCCCCGAACCAATTCGGAGGAAAAGGAAGAGGCACGAGGAGCAACGAGGAGGAGCGAGGAGACGTTGCAAACCCAAAGAGGCAAAACAAAGCCGTGGCGCTCAACCCAGCGAGGGCCAGACGTGCCCTGGCCAACGGCCAACGTGGCCAACGGCCAACAACAAGGGCGCACGCGCACAAGGGGGAATCACGGACACAAGCTGGGACCTGGCCTCCGGCTGCCGTTCCCTGACTACTCCCAGTAGCGCCAGAAACGCTGTGCCTTGGGGAAGAAATCAAGAAAAAGATAGCAAAGCAGGGACCGCCCTACACCCCCAGATGGGGGTTCGGGATCGGCACCCAAGAGACAATACACGGTGCGTTGCCCAGCGCCCGCACCCCCACAAGCACGGCAACAGTATGCCCGCGGCAAAGAGCACTGCAACCAAGAGGTTGCAGGCAGGAAGCCGCGGGCCCGCGTCCGTGATCGTCAACGGCGGTTCACCTCCGACCAGGAGGTGCCACTGGGGTCTCCCCGCGCCCAGGCCGCACCTCTTGGCCGAGGTGGCAGGGCACTAAAAGCCCTGGCCTGACAGCTGCAACGGCGACAGCGGCGGCAGCAGGGCGGGGAGGGGGGGAGGGCCACTCTGCGGGGAGCGAGCAGGAGGGCCGAGACGTCGAAGTGGTGCTGTCCTGTCGCTGCAGCGCCGGGCAAGGGCTTGCCGAAGATCCAGTCCCGCCCGTGCGCAGCACGGGCGCTCCCCTCGCCAAGACTCGTCGGAGGCGGGACCGCGCGCCAGCGCCTTCCGTTTGTTGGGTGGGATCGCGCTCCGGTCACAATATCAAGCTGTGCTATCGTTGATTATCACGTGATGCGATAGCGGGGGTGGGGATGGGCGGGGCCCGCAGACGCGTTCGGCATCCGACTAACTCGACTCGACTCCTGGTCCTCCGTATCCTCAGTACTCATCCGTATCATCCTCCTGACGGTGCTCCTCGGTCAGCCTCATCGTCATCGTTCTCCTCTCCCTCATCATATCCGTCTCCTCCTGAGCCTTGTTCGCGTCCGCGTCGTGCTCTGCTGTGGCCAATACTCGTCATCGCCCTCGTCGTCGTCATCATCCTCGTTTTCCGCCTCCTTCCCCTCTCCACATCCGTCGTCCACCTTTCGCTATTCCTTTCCTTATAAACTACTCCTCCCTGCCGCACCCCGAGGCCAGTCGGAAGGGCGGGCTAGGCGTCTCGACCGAAACTTCCTTACAAGTTCTGCTGAGATATTGGCAACATCTCCACAGATGGAAAGCGGATCGCATCCAAACTGTGGCTCTCATCTCAGAGCCGCGCGCATTCGTCTTAAGCATGTGCGAGAACTTCACGGACTGAGGGCGGGCGGCTTTCAAAATGTGGGCCTCGCCCTGGCGCGACGCACACTCGTCTTAAACCTTTGCGGGAGTTTCACGGGCTGAGGGCGGACGGTTTGCGAAATTTGGCGCTCCCCTTAGCGCCGTGGACATTCGTTTCACACATGTGTAAGAATTCACGGGGTCCCATGATTACCGTAACAGAAATGGCGTTTGGGGACGATTCAGGATTATCAGGGCGCAGCAGCTTCGTTGATTCGAGGCGTTGAATTCCCAGGAATGGTCTTCTGACACGACTCAGGAACGTTAAGTCGCAACGGTCAGGTTGATTCGTGGCGTTGAAATCCCCAGAATGGTGTATGGGCACGCTTCAAGATCTTCAAACGGTTGTCCCCCAACGGGAAACTTCCCTAGTAGAAATGAAGCCTTGCAGGGGCCGATGGAAAGGGAATTTGAGAGGGGGGTAGTCCAACAGCGTTGACGAGCCTTGGGTGTACACTGGGTCTCCTCCTCCTCCTCCTCCTCCTCCTCCTCCCTCCTCCCTCCTCCCTCCTCCCTCCTCCCCTCCCTCCTCCCTCCTCCCTCCTCCCTCCTCCTCCTCCCTCCTCCTCCCTCCTCCTCCTCCCTTCCTCCCTCCTCCCTCCTCCCTCCTCCTCCTCCCTCCTCCCTCATTCCTCATCCATCCTCCTCCTCCTCCTCCTCCTCCTCCTCCACCTCCTCCTCCTCCTCCTCCTCCTCCTCCTCCTCCTCCTCCACATGGCGCGCGCCTGGCAGGAGCTCCCGAGTGGCCTCTTTCGCCACCCTGGCCAGGCCGAGGCGATCGTCACGGGAGCGGTGGCCTGGCCTGGTGCCTCCGCCCGTGCGGGCGGCCGTTGGCAGGGCGGGCGGCACGACCACTCCGCCCGCGCACCGCCGACCTGGCCTCCCACGCAGACGAGCACGAGGACGTCGAGGTGATCTGGATCGGCTCGGACAGGGAGGCCGGGAAGAACGACGGGGAGCAGCTCCCCGCAGTCCCATCTTTCCCGCAGCTGGTCGACAGCGAAGTTCCCTCCTGCCCGCAGATGGTCGACGGCCAGTCCAAGGAGGAGCTTTCCAAGGAGGCGGAGGTGAAGGAGCAGGGTGGCGCCACCATCTCGCGCAGGGCGAAGGACCTGTGCGGCGCCACCCTGGTGGCCGTCGGCGTGGAGTGCGCCAACAGGGTGTCGGGCCTCCTTGACGCTGACAACGACGGCCAGATGCAGCAGGTCATCGAGCAGGCTCCCGAGGCTGCCGCTTTCGTCGGGGTGCCAGCGCAGGAGGCTAACGAGGACGAGAAGTACAAGCATGAGGACGACTACGACAGGTGCGAGGTGCAGCTGCGGGCGCACCACGTCGGGAGGCGGTCGTCAAGGTGGTGGCATCGGCGACGGAGGCCGACAATGACGATTACGAGGTGGAGGACGAGTCTGACGAGTACGAGGCGTAACTGCACGCACACCAAGTCGTCGAGCAGGATCTGGAGGCGGCCGTCAAAGTGAAGGCTTCGGCGCTGACGGCCGACGTGGACGACTGCGTGGCGGAGGCTGTGCAGGGCAGCGGCCACTTCGACGAGGTGCCAGACGTGGGTGGCTCCGCCATGGGGGCCACGCGCGCGGAGCTGATCGAGCAGATCCGCGCCATGCCTAGGCGGGACGGCCTCCTCGACACCTCCAGCACGGAGAAGCTGCACGCCATCCTGACCTTCCGCAGCCTGCGCCGCGATAACGCGCACCTTCAGGAGTTGGGGGGGGGCCCGAGGCCGCGCGCGCCCTCCACGAAGTGCTCGAGTCCCGCCCTCGCTGAGAGCGCGAGCCTCGCGGGACGAGGCGGGTGCTGCTGCCCGATCGCGGCTGGGCCTGCTGGATTCGCCACGAGGCGGTGCGAGGCGCCCCGCCCGGCGTTGGTGTTGGGCGTGCGCCGCTTGGGAGCGGCGCTCGCACTCGGTGTGCGAACCCGCGTCCTCGCCGGGGGGCAGGGTGGCCGCTGGCGGCTGCGGCAGGTTGCCCGCCCTCGTCCCCGCGGGGGCGGACAAACGCCTGGCCCTGGCCCTCCGCTGGAGGGGCCAGGCCGGGGCAGAAGCCCGTCTGGGCGTCGGTGCGGGGGCGCCTCGCCGCTGGGCTCGGGAGCGGCGCGTGCGCGGCGGCCACTGCCTGCGGCGGCGCGAGGAACTCACGGCTGGGCATGGGTGCATCCTTGTGGGCGGGTCCAGTCTGATCCTCTAGTCACCCATCGCGCCATCGTCATCGACATCGTCCGCATCCTCCTCGTCAGCATCCTCCCACCGTGATCCTCTCACTCCTGCCCCCTTCTCCTCTCTCCTAATCTTTCCTCTCCCTATCCTCGCAATCCCCCTCCTTCCCTTCCCCCCTCCTCCTCCTCCTCCTCCTCCTCCTCCTCCTCCTCCTCCTCCTCCTCCTCCTCTTCATCTTCCTCCTCCTCCCACTCATCCCCCATCCCTTTCCCTTAGACATAACTCCTCACTGTCGCACCCCGAGGTCAGTCGGAAGGGCGGGCCGGCCGGGCGCTTCACCTGAGATGTCCTTACCACTTGCGAGCCTGAAGCTGAGAAATTGGCAACCGTTTAACAGATGGAGGGCGCGTGGTGCTCAAAATGTGGTTCTCGCCTCGGCGCCGCGCACATTCGTTTGACAAAGAAACGCTTCACGGATCGAGGACAGGTGGTTTTCAAAATCTAGCTCTCACCAGCGCCGCGCACGTTC